GACAGAGAAATCGTCCATGAATACTTCCATGAAATCCTCAATAAAATCTGTGAAGATCGACATCATGCACCGCTGGAAGGTAGCAGGTGCATTACACAGTCCAAAAGGCATACGTCGGTAGGCGAACGTGCCATATGGACATGTGAATGTCGTTTTTTCTTGATCTTCCGGGCGAATAGGAATTTGGAAAAATTCGGAGTATCCATCAAGGAAGCAATAGTAAGGGTGATTAGCTAATCTTTCTAGCATTTGATCTATGAAGGGAAGTGGAAAATGATCTTTCCTAGTTGCTGCATTCAGTTTCCGGTAATCGATGCACCTACGATGTCCAGTTACTGTTCTTGTAGCGATCATTTCATCTTTATCATTTTTAATGACAGTGACTCCTCCTTTCTTCGGAACAACATGAACTGGGCTAACCCAAGTGCTATCTGAGATAGGAAAGATTATTCCAGCTTCTAAAAGCTTCATAATCTCCTTCTTGACAACATCCATGAGATTAGGGTTCAGTCTCCTTTGACTTTCGATCGAGTTTTTAGCATTATCCTCTAGATTAATCTTGTGCATACAAAGATCTGGAGAGATTCCAGGTATGTCATCAAGTGAATATCCTAAGGTTTTTCTATGCTTTCTCAGCTCAGTCAACAGCATTGTGGTTTCTTCTTCCGTCAAACCAGAATTTATTTTGACAGGATAAGTAGAATTTGGTCCAAGGAAAGCGTACTTAAGTCCGACGGGAAGAGGTTTAAGCTCGACTTTAGGGGCTTTAAGCTTGCTCCAAGGATCGTTAATTGCTGCAGCAGTGTCTTTAGGAGGTGTAGGAATGTTTGTTTGGTCCTTAAGATCTAGATAGTTTAGAGGTTTCCTATAAGTTTCGGATTTATCAAGCATACATGCGCACTCACTCGAAATTTCTTCAAGGAAATTGCGTTCATCTTTTGCGGGTGAAAGCGTGACACTTAAAGGGTCTTCTAGAAGCAGATCTTCATATACTTCCTCAATAATTCCGTCTAACTCATCAACCCAACAAATTTTGCCATCCAGAGTTGGTTTATCGAAACTTTTGGTCATGTCAAATTGCATAACTAGGCCGGCTAGATGAAGGTCAATTTTTCCTTCAGGAACATTGATTATGGCTCCGGCTGTAGATAAGAATGGCCGTCCAAGAATAAGTGGATCCTTAGGTTCTTTTTCTAGTTATAGAACTACGAAATCGGTGGGTATGGAACATTTTTCGATTTCGACGGGAACATCTACTAAGATACCTACAGGTTGTCTAACGGAACGATCAGCTAATACTATAGAAATTTTAGTGGGCTTGAAAGTGTGGTGTCCTAAACGTTTTGCTACTGAAAGAAGCATCATGTTTATGCTAGATCCTAAATCACAGAGAGCACGCTCAAAAGCTACATCTTTGATGGTGCAGGAAAGTACAAAGCTTCCAGGATCATTTTTCTTTTCAGGGATTTGGCTTTGCAGGATAGAACTACATTCATGGGTTATCATCATAACGCCTTCTTCAAGAGTTAAAGAATTTGTTAGAATACCCTTCATGTATTTTCTTAAAGCAGGAATCATAGCACAAGCTTCTACGAAAGGTAATCTCACATTTAATTGATCGATTAACTCTTTCAGCTTAGCTTTTTCTTTCTCTTTCTTAGGGGCTCTTAAGGCTCTAGGATATGGAGGTTTAGGTTTATAGACACGAGTTGGTGGAGGAGGAATCGGGTCTTCTCCAAGGATTTCTCGGGATGAATCTTCTCTTACTTGTTCTCCATCCTTTTCTCCTACCACTTTCTTTTCAACATCTTCATTCGTGATTCTTTATTTTTCTTTCTCCTTTTCCTTACCCTTTTTCCCATCTTCGGGATCTTTAGGAAATTCAGGTTCTTTGTAAGCTAATCCACTCCTAAGTGTGATAGCTTTCACATCATCGGTGGGATCTGCTTCACTTGAGCTTTCGAAAGAATTTTCACTTGGCTCCTCTTCGGATTTTTCTAAGTTTTTAGAATTAGTTTTGGCCATTATGCTAAGGAGGGTGGATAGTCTTTCATCGAAATCCTTCTGCATCTCTTTTAGTTCAGATCTAAGATCACTAATCTCTTTAGACCTAGATTTTTCAAGCTCTATAATTCTTTTGTTTAGGTTTTCAGCTTCAGAAGAGGGAAAACTAGGATATGGAATAGGATTAGATTGAATACCCAAGATTGGTTTGGGAGGTGGTGTCCAGGCAAGCTCAGAAGACGGTTTCCCGCGGTCAGAGGGCTCACGACCGCGGTGAAACAGGTCTTGGCCGCGGTCAGAACAGCTACGACCGCGGTGAAACCTTGCTTGGCCGCGGTCCGGATGAATGGACCCGCGGTGATCATAAACGAATGGAAAATCTTGAATTTGATAAACTTCTGCAGTGTTAGGCATCCCTTGATCATAAGAATCCATTGGGTTGTCCCAGCCATCAAAGTTACACGTATTGTGTACCCTATTTGGTTGTTGCAATCCAATATGACTCATTATGTGACGGAGACACTTTATAACTTCTGAAATTTCTTCTTTCTTCTCAGGAAGTGCAGAATTACCAAAGGTTACTTGATTTTGGATGCTGTTTCCTAAATTTTTAATGAAAACGTGAGCATCTTCTACAGATCTAGTTGTGAAATCCCCATTACTTGCTATATCAAAAGAGGGTCGCAACTCTGGAGTTATACCGCGATAGAAGATACCTATCGCGGTATATCCATGGTGTTCCTCGGCATATCCATGGTGTGGACAATCTCTTTGGTATTCCCTAAACCTTTCCCAAGTATCTAAAAGATCTTCATCTTCTTTTTGTTTAAAAGTTATTATCTTCTTTCTCAAGAGATTTGAACGATTTCTAGTGTAAAAACGATTTAGGAAAGCAGTTCTACACGCTGCCCACGTTTTTAGTGAAGCAGGTGGCAAAGATTTTTGCCATTTGCCGGCCTTATCTCTAAGAGAGAATGGGAAAAGACTACACTTGTGGTAATTCCCATTTGCTGTAATGGTTGCACATAATTCTTCGAAAGTCTCGATATGGTCTATCGGGTTTTCGAATGAATAACCAGAGAATTGATTTTGTTGAACTAAATGGATATGGGGTACCTTAATTTCGGTTTTGCCATCCTCTGGTAAGGCTGGTTGAATAGCTCTTCGATCTCCCATGAACTTTTTGAGTGAATCGAAACTTCCAATCAGTTCATTATCATCTTTGTGTTTGACCGATCCGATTAGCTCATTGTCATCATAAATCGGTTCTTCAAACTCATCAGCAGTCAGGTCATCATCGCTTGGATCACCATCCACACGATTTGGTGGATCACCACGAGTTCCGGGAACATGTTCATGGTCTCTCATCTCAGAGAAACCTGAAAAATTCAAAAGAAAAAGTAAAAATAAACAAGTGTTCTAATGGATTTAAGCTGGGATTCGCAACGAAACAAATTTAAGTCCCCGGCAACGGCGCCAAAAACTTGATGCGGGATTGTAAACGGGGTTTGTTGTTTTCGTTTTACTAAGCTTCAGGTTTTAAATTTATAACCCCTAAATGTCTGCAAGTGCACAGATGTGCGCTGTAGTACTTAGGGTATCGATCCACAGAGATTTAGTTGTTTTAGTACGAATTCACTGCAACGCTTAAATCAGATTAGAACTAAAAAGGTTTTGGGTTTTGGTTTTGGGTTTTGGTTGTCACTAAATCAAACTAGAAAGCAATTAAAAACTAAAAAGCAATTGACAAAAACGAAAGCAAGTAAAGCAACTAAAAAGCGATTAAACTAAGCGATTGAAAACAAAGAACAAGCGAATGGAAAGCAAATAAAATTGAAGGTTGTAAACAATGAAAAACAAACGTTGGGGCTCAAGGGGTTTCGTAGGGGTTCATAGTCTATGCTAGGTCGATTTTAAACAAGTGATAAAGGTAATCAACTACGCATGTTCTAGAACTCGAGGCACGGAAGTATGAATAGCTTACTTTCGCAGCACTAAACAACTATCTCTCGCAACCCTAATCAGTAGGTTTCCACTCTGATTCTGGAAGGGAGAAGATGCAATAGCAGAACAAGACTCATCAATATTCACAACTCAACTACAGGTAGGTTTCCACTCCTATAGAAGAATTGCTCGTTTCACCCTAGTTCAGACAATCAATGAAAGCTTTCGCAACATATCATATCAGATCAGCTTCTAAGTGGCCAGCAAAAAATCACGCAGTAAGATTAAAGGCAAACGAAGAACATCTAGAAGATTAATAATCCTAAATCTATCGATTCATAAGCAAAGACACATGAAATTCCCTTTGAACAATCCCTTTAAACCCAACTGGGTAACTACTCAAACATATTGTAAACAATCATCACAGAGTATTGAAAATTACAGGAAATTAAAGAAAAGAAGGAAGAAGAACGAAGAACGGAAGGGACGACGGAGGCGCGATGTCTTCCTCCAGCGGCGGCTCCTCCTCCAAGAGCGGCGGCCTCCTAGGGTTTAGAAGCCGAAAATCTCTATCTCTCTCTCTAAGATTGTCTCTCCTTCGATTCCCCTCTTTAGAATGACCTAAAAGGGGTATTTATAGCTTCTGGGGTGGTTCTGGACACTTAGGGCTTCAAAAATAACGAAAGGAATTGATCTGGGCTTTAATTAAGTCGTCGGAATAGTGAACGACCAAAGTCCGCGGTCGCGGTGGCTCTACCCGCGGGAAAATGGGTGTTGGCCGCGGTCCCGGCACTTGCTCTCTTCCGGAACTGCATTTTCTGTCATTCTTGCATCGGGAGTATCTGAAGATCTAACCGTTGGATTGTCTTCAAACCAAGTGCATTAGAAAGCTGGTTGGATCCTCTATGTTGTCGCAAATTTTGGGGGTGAGCAGACGGTGAGAAGGTCTTCATCGCTTGTCATACTTCTGACGGTCTGCATTTATCCAAAATTGCTCATTTGTTCCAAATTGCATATCTTTTGCCCAAGTTTCCTGTAAAGTCTTTTGAAACTCTAAAACATTGAAAACACTTTAAAAACCTTTGAAAACAGAGTTAAAACACCTGCATAAGATACAATTATGATCCATAAAAGTGGTCAAAATACGGTATTATCAACCCTACAATGGAGAGAAATAAGTTTGCAAAGTTGGTGTAATTTTCAATGGGGGCAGTTTGGAAAGTTGACTCATACCGCTTTCATTTTGTTCATAACTTCTGGAGCTTCTCGGCCACAAAGTTTGGTGACTTCACTGTCGAAAAGGACAAAGGTTGCGAGGCCGTTGGTATCGCGGACTGCAACTTCAATACGATAACTGGAAATACAAAAGAAATTCTCTGAGATTTGTTATCGTGCGTCTTATCTGTGAGTTGGGTTAAATATCAAACCTGAGAAGGCCGAGGTTGTTGGGTTTTTTACACTTGGGATTGGTGCAGAACAATGATGTTTCTGATTTTCTCATTTTGTTCTTACACCCGGTGCAGGAGATGAAGTTCCATCCATATTCTCTGAGTACATCCACAATTGTTGCAGTGCAAACAAAGCTAGCGATCTAGTAAGATGGTTGGAATAGGTTTTGGTTTGTTAACCATGGCTGATATGTTTGTGCCTTTGGATTGCTGTGTGAATAGTAGTTTGTGGCCACCTATATATTACTGTTAGTAAAATGGTAGAAAATTGCTTACCTGTGGAGTTTCATCTTGTACGAACTTCTGAATCTCATTTAACGTCACGGTCTCAAGTTTTGTAACTGCGCTGGAGGAGCTGTTTACAGCTGCAGCACTTTCTCCATCTGTACCTAGCCTAAAGTATAAATGTGGGAGGCTGATTTAGTTCTTGCACGAAAATGGTTGAAGTGCAATTGAAATGTAGATTATTAGTGTTAACTTACTTCTCCGGAAATTCTTTGGTTTCAGAAATGTCAGAATCGAAGAAAAGACGGGTGGCAGATGTGGAGCTCAGTGCGATAGCATCTGCAATTTTTAGACGGTGTTAAATTATAATAAAAACTAGTAACATCTGAAACTTGTTCTTTAATTTGTAGGCGGCACATGTATCGAAATTTTGAAACATAAAAGGCAAATATTTTGAAGATATTTTTCTCATCAATTTACAGAGAAAAGTTTCGACCTTAAAAAAAGGTATACTAACCAGTGCAATAAAATAACGTTGAGCAAACTGGAAAAATAGAAGTAAAATAACTTTGAAGCAGAATTTGTTTATTAGTGTGGGAAAAATAAAATGATGTATATTGTGGGGAAAATAATATTCGAATAAAATACATACTTCTTTTGTTTAAAAAATCTGAATTTTAAAATTTCTAAACATAATCAAACGAATAAACTTATATAGGTGGATTCATGATTTTGTTGATGTGGTTCTTGCTGTTTTTCTTTTTCATTTAGGCTACAGCAAGTTTTTTTTTTTTTTTTGGCATGACAGAATTGTCAAGAAAAACGCAGAATGATACCTCCAACTGTTTTTGGGTTTATGGTGGTGATCAAGATTACAGCCGGTTTGGTTTCACTTTCATTCCAGCGAGTGCGGAATTTTGCAGCAATTTTGTCCCAGAGGTATATACGGACGGTTTCGCCACTGTTAATAAGAATAGGAAAATGGTGTTTAAACATAAGGTATTAAGAGGTGTGTTTGAGATTGTGGAGTTACGTACTCTTTCATTTGCACATGTAAGAAAACCATGGCATCTTGTTTCCCATCTGGAGTTTCTGGAACTACAGACATTGGCGTAGGATTGTGGAGGTTATCTCCCTTTATGAGGCGGATGTGGCCGATGATATCTGCATTGAAAGCAACCTCAAAGACTTTCAGTTACTGGTCTGGTGGTGTGAGAAGTTGAGGTGAGAGATTTGGTTACCATAAAGGTCGCAGTGTCTGTCCACAATGGGAGCTAAATCTTGGAAAGTCCGGAGCCTGAACTGCTGGGTATCAATTTTGTGGTCGGCATCATTTTGTTCGTCGAAAGTTGTGTGGTTTGTGAAGCTGATGCCGTGTTTGTGTGATGACACCTTGTAAAGAGTTTTGCAATCGGTGATCATGAAGTTTTTCATCTTATAAATTGAGTTTGCCTTCAACGCCTGTTTGTAGCGGAATAATCGGTTCGCCGATATGAATCCCTGCATCGTTGTTGACTGTAAAAAGTTGATTAGATATGACAATACCTTTTTAAAATGAATCTCTATTTAAAGTATATATTTGGCATACCTTGGTGTCGATCAGGAGCAGTTCTACACCCATCAGTATGTTGCCTTTTTTAAAATTCCGAGACTCCCAAAAATGAATCAGCCTGACCAAAACTTCATCCTTGCAGAAATCACCTTCAAGGTCATCAAACGTTTTGATGGAGAGTGGTTTCAGAGTAGAAGTTGTAGCATTTGGCGCCATGTCTCTTTGTTTAGAAGCTATTTGTGAGGGAGATAGTGTGGTGGTGGGGTTGTGGGAACTGAGTTTTTATAGTCATCTTTGTTAGGAGGTTTGATTGTGAAAGTAGTGGTCATTTACTTCGCCTGAATTGAAAGCTCCTGTAACTGTGAGGGATGTCAATCGATTTGTTTGCTGTGTAACAGAAATGGTGAAGCTTCGATGGTATGAGGGTTGAAGAAGATTTAGGTTTAAATTACTATTGGGCTGTTTAGGTGTTGTATAATCTGTATTAATATGAAATGGGCTTATATTGGTGTGTATTTTGTACAATAACTGTAGGCCTATCTGTAATCCTCTTATTATTATTATTGTACCCCATTTTTTTTTTTGGGTTTGATTACGTAGAGACAATGGATTTGTTTTGTTGGATATGTTTGGTTTGGGCTTATCTGTAGTCTTGTTTTTAAAAGTACACCCATTATAGTTTTTGTTTGTTTACGTAGACATGTTTGTTTTTTTTTTCCTGGTTCTTTTTTTTAAGGGAGTATATGAGATTTTTTGGAATGACTTTTTTTCCTTATTGAACATTGGTGGGAAAGTAGATATGTCATGCAAATAATATCGGTATTATTTTCGATGGGTGAACTAAATTGTCGCATCTATTGTTGGATTGTAGTCATCGCCGTCTTCTTCTGAGAGATGCCAATGTGCAATCGAAGTAAAATCTTGACACTGGGGTTGTATGAAGCTGTAGTTTCCCTGCATTGATTTTTTTTTTGGGTTAGTGGATTTCGGGTCTTATTTGGTTAATTGATTAAGCGATTATTTGAGTTCATTTTAATGGACCTTTATATATTTTTGGGTTGATGCTTGTGATCAGCATAGTTGAGTGTTTCAGATCTTTGATGCATAAGGCTTGGCGGAAATACGCTGCCTGTTCATCCCATATTAAGACTTTGATGATGGTGTTTCTGTGAATATTCGATAAATTTTTATGTCATTTGAGGTTTTATTCGTTATTTTGGTAATTAATTGTGTTGTGCGTACCTGGTGATTTCGAGGCCTACCCAAACAATTGTTTTGGAGTTTGGTTGTCTGAGATTTATACCTTGTATAATTCGTATCTTGCCGATGACATCTGCAATAAATTGTTGTTAGTTTGGAGATTTTTTTTTGGTTACTAATTTGGTAGTGAATGTGTAATACGAACCTGGTAGCTCAGTGTTTGTGCCTCCTAAACTTTGTAGGCTGTTGTAGTTCTTTAGCCAGAATTTGTTGGTAGGTATCGTGGGTAAGTTTCCAGTCAGTGCAAAAATAATAGTTTTTTTTGTCAGCCGAAGGACATATTGATGTGGAGTGAGTTTGAACCTCTGGTTATTTGAACGGACTATGAATTGGGAGACTCCATATATTCCTCCTTCCCTTAAGTAATTCTTGTATTGCTCTGCTATGGAATAATGCATGGTAGCCTCGATCATTTCACCCTGTTTGTGATCATGATTTACGTTAGTGGTAGATAAGTTCAGGCTGATAATTTAAGGAGAAGATGTGTATACATTTACGTCTAAAAGAAGGAATGTGGTCCCCATTTTTATCTCTTTGTTTGTGTGGTGATGTGTTTCCCACAGACGATTGATACGTAAGCAGAGTGTGACACTTAAGGGGCCCATCCTTAAGGTCCTTAAATCAAAGTATGTTGTGGGTGTAGGTGTGTACAGCGTTCCTGGGAAGAGGTTTTATTAGAGTAGATTCTAAGCCGGCAGACAGTAGTATATAATTTTGTTTTTGTGAGATGCGAGATCCTTTTTTTTACCTGTTTGTATGTCGTTCTTATGATGTATTGGGAGATCAACGTTTCTGAAGCTGGAGATTGGCATCCCTTTGTTTGCTATTTTCTGGAATTTTTTGTTAATGTCAGTCTTTAGTTTTCTTCTGCTTCTGTTTTTGGTTGATGAACGTTTGCTTTATTTATATGTCTTCGTGTTATGTGAAGCTATTATTAATGAGTTTAAGAACCGATCTCCGTGATTGTTTCTGATTGATTTGTGTTTTTTTTTTTGGGAGGCAAATATTGGGTTTTTGATTTTTCATGTTTCTCATAATTTTCACTATATTTAAATGGCATAGAAAGGGATCTTTGTGAAGCTATTATTAATGAGTTTAAGAACCGAGTGATTGTTTCTGATTGATTTGTGTTCTTTTTTGGGAGGCAAATATTGAGTTTTTGATTTTTCATGTTTCTCATGATTTTCACTATATTTAAATGACATAGAAAGGGATATTTGTTTCCCATATTTGTTTAATTTGTATTGTAGATTGTTTAGATTCTGAATTTGGTAGGTACTTTATACAGCTAAAGGAAATGCATGCCTTTTTGTTAATTAGTAGATCCTATATATTGGGTGACCACTATCACAGCTGGTACGAATCATTGTACGGTAATGGGTATATTACGTTCATTTGTTTTGTGGGGGTGTTAATAAGATTTTATGTATAAGTCATTTGTGGGTTTCATTTGGGCCACCGATAATTGCTTGTATAAGTATTAATAAGTTTTGTTGACTTATTAGTGGTGCTGACGTGGCATCCTCCCAGAACATATTATTTTGGCTGATGTGGATACCCTGAGGAACCTCAAACTTCTCCTTTTATTATAGTAGATTCAAAGATTGTCTACTACCACTGTTTTTTTAGTGATTCAAAAAAGGAATGATTTTTGAATGGTAAATGAAAAATAGAATAAACTGAAAAGGTCAAGAAAGCAATAGTATTTTATTTTATTTTTTGGGAAGAGAAAGCGTGGATAGAAAATAGAGAAGATAAATGTGTAAAGAGAAAAGTAGAGCAAAAAGCATCTCCTTTATATAAAAGGGATTGATTTTCTGGTCTCTTAGTTATGATTTCCTGGTCTCTCAGCTATACCACATCAGCAAAAATAATCAACAAAATAATCAGCCAATGAGAACATTTGAAAGTCACGCATAACTAAGAAAACTTTAATTACGTTAAAAGAGTGATTGCAGAATTATGAAATCAGGCCACTCAACACAGTAACACAGAAAATTGAATAGAAAGAAGCTCATTAGATAGAGACCCAAAACATTAGCCCAAAACGAAATCCAGAATACATTTGAGCTTCCCCACCTTTCTCTGCTTTCCTCATACCCTAAATTCACCGCAACAGTTTCCCCTCAAACGATTCATCTTCATCCTATCTCCAAATCAGATTCAACGAAAGGAAAGCTCAAACCATAAGTCGTTACAAAATACCTTCAAACTTAATTTCTCTAACAAAGTAACTTCACACTTAAATCACCCTTCAAACCTAAATCCACGATGGAGAATCTCAAACATCAATCGTTCCTAATAACTTCCACATCACCGCCACTTCTCCATCCTCTTTATATAAATTCTGATCCTTCCACCAATACAATTTACAACTCATTTCTACCCATCATATACTATCACAGCCATGGCATCCTCTGAACCTGTTGGAGTAGTTAGAAAAACAAAGAGGTAATCGAACAGACATGATGGCCAATGATCTGTTTTGTGTTTTGAATTTTTTGATATATTATCTTCTTTATAAATTGCACCGAGCATTATTCATCCGAACTTAAAATATTGTCATCGCAATTTCTTCACATAATTGTCAACACTTTTTTTGTCTAGTTTCGAAAACCCAATCGGCAACTGTCAACACAAATCCAGAAGACCAATTCCAAGGCTTTCCCTCTTTGTAGTCTTAATTATTTTTGGATCTGTGCTATTCGATCAAGCTATTGAAAGGTCAAAAATCGTTTTTTCGTCTTCTCATCTTCTAATCTTACAGATTCATTGGCGTCTCTTTGAGACAGAAATGAGGCCAAAGATTCTATGTCTGACCTTATTTTTAATTTGAAGCAGTATTATCTTCACCCATAATCTGTTATTACGAGTCCTCTTTACCTACGGGTAAGTTGAAAACAGGCGGCTACGATTCAGTAGCTAGGTTATTGGCTTTAATTTCTTTACAGAATTGAACAATATTGTCATCTATTACTCTACTTTGGAATCAAATTATCAACCGTCAAAGTAAATCTGAATATGTTCCTTACTTATTTATGCAGGTTTTCCATATCAGATTGTTCTCATGGTGCTTCAAATCTCTACAGTACAACTAAGTCACTGCTATAATCAAAGAGTTCTGCTTTAAATCTCTGATCATTATATCTTCTAGCCAGTTTCCAATCTCTGGAGAGGCAGCAAAGCAAGAGCACGTGATGAACGATGGAACCAGCGGACGCCATCTAGGTCTGCGGTTAGATATTTGGATCTATGATGATTTATTTCAGTTTTAATCTTTTCCATGTCTCTGTTTTAGGTGATTTAATTTCTCATTACATTTGGTCGGTAATGCAGTAGGAAAGACAAACTACCCTATTAAATTCATTGGTTATACTAACCTATATGGTTTTCTATTACCATATGCCCTTAGAAGCTGCTAAGAAGATGTAAGATTTCGTCTACAAAACGTGTAAGGTGGATTTTCTTATTTGGTTTTAGCCAGATCGATGTGAGTGATTAAAATTAGCTCATGTAGTCTTAATTTTCAAATAAATATCTAATACAAAACTATGAGAGGCTTTGTGATACCAAAAGGGACATGAAAAAATACTTATGGTCTTCACGATCCAGACAAATAAGTTTCAACGTAATTACATCTCATGTGGAGACGAAATTACATGTTTTATAATGTTTTTTGCTTCTACATTATTTCATTATGCTTCGATATAAAATGTTATATTTAGAAATTGAACAAATAAACGTTATAGTCAAGTGATATATTGTGAATTGACCTTTCTCCTCTTTTATGCCACATGATATATTAAAGGGGCCTTGATCAAATATCATCACATGGTCAAGTAAGTGAAACTCAAGACGAAAATAACAACGAAGAAATACTGCTATGGTTACGATGATTAAAAAAAAACGTTTTAGGTACAGGTCATCATACTAAGCAGCTAAAGTCCATTAGAAACATGAATACTCGCCACTTTTTTGCCTCATGATTTAAACCATTTGCAGATAAATGACTTATATAGTAAAGTAAATGCTGCCTCATTTTTTGGATGGCAGAAGTTTGAGTTGGTTTGCTCTGATTTAGTTTGGTGTGCTTTTGGTTTTTGTTCAATTTTTTAGTATTGCAGCATCAATTTTTGTCTTAGGTTTATATTTTTTACTTATAATTACCTAATTAGTCTATCATTTTTAAGCTACAAGCTATTATCTACAGATTAGTAATTTGTCAAAAAGTCATGATAAGGGAAAGTATTATTTTTATAGTTTCTAATGGTATATTTATATACTACTGAAGTTGTTAACTCCACAAAACATTTGCCATAACTACAACATTTTATTTATATAATGAAGATCTAAAAAATACATTAATATTTTAAAACCTTAAGGAAACAAAATTGGTTATACTTTCTAATAATTTTGCATTCATCTAATGATATGCATTTTTATAATATGCAAGTATGAACACACTATACATATATGTGTTGTATATACTCAAAATACAAATTATAACTTAAAACTAATTTAAAACTAAAAAAAATTAATGAAAAACCCGGGCATAACCCGGGGCCAAACCTAGTAGTACAATAAAGCAAATATCAAAAATGAAAAAAAATATAGTGTTATCGAGAAGGCAAGTAGGTTATGGGTAATTTTCTATCCATTTTCTTGAATATTTTAATAGTATAAATTTGGTTCCAAAATTGTGTCATACCACCTAATTTCCCTTAATTGTAAATAGGTATATATTTATAATTTTTTGTAGGTCAACAAAATAAGTATCTAAAACAACTTAGAAAACCAAAACAGTAGTTCCAAATTTACAAATGAAATACTAGAAGAGTAGACACGATCATTGTTTATTAACTTGTCGGCATTTGTGTTGTTTGTATATGGAGTAAAAAAGATAGAGAACAAAAAAATAAAGACCTTCTTGCTCCTCCCAAATTCTTCTAGATGTATTGAGAATGCAAGAAACTTCTTCAATGCGACATCATCTTCAGAAGTTCGAAAGAGTATGTTTCAAAAGTTGTTGCTCTTTGTAATGTTCTCAATTCACAATAGGATCATCGGGACGTATGGACCGAGAATTGGAGAAGAAAGGCTGGGAGTCTAAATAAATAATCGAGCCATGGTGCAAAAGAATCGGCTAGGTTGATTGGTTTAAGATTTAGTCGGAAAAAGGAGAAAAAAGACCGAGAAGATAGATGGGAGAAGCTCAATAAGTCAGACTGAGCTAAAATGAGCTGGATGGCCGAGCTAAGCTAGCTGGACCAGCTGACAGGAAGCTGGTCCAGCTAGACCGAGTGATCGACAATTGGGTTAGCTGAGTGATTAGAACTAGCTAGTCCATGGGCGATTATGACTGAATGGTTGCAAAGCCTGTTCGACCAAATAACACGTCTATCCAACAACGCATCTGTCCGCAATATGGCAGTTATCA